TCCATTTCCGACACGCACTGGAAACGTGAGCGGACCAGCGCCCCCTGTGCTGTTATGCCTAAAAGGTCAGCCAATGCAGTCTTTTTAGTTTTCAGAGCTTCAATATGCCCCCGATTTCCTGTGGCCTCTGCTAAACCCTGGAGCGCCACTATTTCAGTCTCCAGAGCTTTGAGAGATCTGGCTATGTCCCTTGTGACATTGAGAGTGTACTGCTGACAGAATACTTTAATTTGTATTTTAGCTATGTCCCACCACTGCTGCAGGGAGCTAAAAGATGTTTTCTTTGAGCTAAAAACATCCCAAAAAAAAGTAAAAGACTCTCTAAAATTGGCATCCTCTAAAAGCGCAGTGTTAAAATGCCAGTATGCACTCTGTGGCTTAACGTTACATTTCCTTACTGTGCACTGGACCATACAATGATCTGAAAAACCAACTGGGGAGATAAGACAGCGTGTAAAAGCAGAAAGTTGATACCTAAAACCATAAAATCGATCCAGCCTTGCCAATGAGAGTGTGTTATCTCTTGAATGTGCCCAGGTATACTGTCTCTGCCCTCCATGGAAGTTCCTCCAGACATCACACAAGTCATGGGCCTCCAGCATCTCACACAATCTCTTACGGGACGCAGCATGCGGTTCCATGTGGTTCCTGTCCATGCTGTCTGCTGTACAGTTAAAATCCCCTCCCAGTATTAAAAACTCATCAGAACCACAACCTGCAATTACGGTGTCCAGAGTGTCCAAAAAGGACATCCTGTCCATCCCCCCAGTTGGGGCATAAACACAAATAAAAACAAAAAACGTGTTTTCAAAACACGCTGTCACTTTTAAAAGTCTGCCATTTAAAACTTCATCCACTGAATAAGAATAAGGAGTAAAACTCTGTGATAAAAGAACAGCCACCCCACCACTGGAAGAAGAGTTATGACTTAAAAAGGCAAGCCCCTCCCACTCTTTACCCCAGTCTGCAGCATTACTGACATCACTATGCGTTTCCTGTACAAATATTACATCAAGTCTCTTCTGTTTCACCAACTCAAACAGCTTTGCTCTTTTACCACAGTCTCTCGCCCCATTAATGTTCAGACTCGCCACTCTGACATCACCCATTAAAAAATAAAATAGATAAAACACAATAAAAACAGAGGCCATTCTGAACCAGGGAGGGCAGGAAGTGTCAGATCTCATCCTCAGTGCTCACTTTATTAAGTCTGGTCAGGATCTTCTTCAGCCTGTAGACTTCTAAAGCGGTGAAGGACCCTTCCCTCCTAAAATGCCTGACGTCATGAATAAACTGTGAAGTATTTGGGAAATGCTCTTCAACACGTACACCCTTTTGGCCTTTAGTGACCCGCAAGAACTTTCTTATATCATCAACAGTATAGAGCACAGACATGTTCTCTTCCTGCGAGCACACCGACCAGCCCGAGTCAGACAGAGAGCCTTCGCTCTCAGACTCCACCTCATTCACTGCACTGCTGTCTGTTTTGGCCTGTTTAGTGCCCTTCCCTCGGTTCCGCTTCTTTCTTTTATTAGGAACTTTAAAAACAGTCTCCTCTTCCATTTCCACCTCCACTGTAGCCTCCACTGCTGTACCGGCTAGACTGACCTCAGTCCCGCTGTCCCTTACCTGGTTATCTTGCTCCCCCGGGTCAGGAATCCCCCGCTCCGGCTCCTCACCACCAGGCTCGTCGACAGCGGGCTCCTCCGCGGTTAGCGCCGCCGGGAAAGGCTCATCCGCGGCCGGCGCAACCCCAGCAGACATTTCCGAGGCCGGCACGGCCGCAGCCGGCTCTTCCCCCGCAGGCGCCGCAGCCGCCGGGTCCCGCGCAGCCGGCCGAGCAGCAGCCGCAGGGGGGACGGCCACCGCGGGCTCAGCCGCGGCAGGCTCCGGCCGCTCCGCGCTCCCGGCATCATTAGCGTTAGCACCGAGTTTTTCAGGGCAGGCTCGGACGAGGTGTCCGGTCAGGCCGCACCTGAAGCACTTCATGTTGGTGTCAGACGACACAAACACCGTGTACTCAAACCCCTCCACTCTGAACTTCAACACCAGGTCCAGCTCGTCCTCACCGTCTCTCAGCACCATGAACACCAACCTCCTGAACGACACCAGGTGCTTCACCAGGGGCGATTTACAGCCGAGGGGGATCTTTTTAATGGGGGAGACAAGTTTTCCAAACCGGGACAGCTCCTGAGCGATCAGCTCGTCAGAGATAAACGGGGGGACGTTGGACAAAATGATCCTTTTGGAGGGAGTACTGAGGGGCAGAACAGACACGAACTGATCACTGATCACGAGTCCACTCTGCACCAGTTCATTAGCTTTGTCCACAGTGGACAGGAACATTACCACAGCGCTGTTCATGCGCGAAGCAGACACAACATTATTGTACCCGACGACGCTCCCCGCCGCCAAACAGCACTCCTCCACACTCGCGCGGCACTCTACCTTTACACCATGCCGGCGAGACAGGCTTTCATACAGCCTGGGGCTTTGGGACGCCATGCTCCCAGCAAAACGCCGGTAACAGACGCCCCGCACACACCCCACCACACCTCACTCACACACTCACACACACACACACACACACACACACACACTCACACACAAACTCACTCAAACAAACTACAGATACAGACTGACAACGACGTAACAACAGAGAAAAAAGTTTGGCAAAACGCCAACCACGCTCACCGCGCTCCGCTCACTCTACCGC